TAAATATAGAAAAGGGCAGTAAAAATATGACATAAAAATTAAAAATGGTACACCTGTATAGGCACTTACTATGAATGGAGGTTGTGGGCTGGAAAGTGCTCTGGGTGAGTCTGTAAGTGAATGGTGAGTGAACGTGAAGGCCTAGGACATTACCGTACACTACTGTAGACTTTATAAACACCGTACACTTTACAAACATTTTTTTCTTCAATAATAAATTAACCTTAGCCTACTCTAACATTTTTGCATCATAAACACTTAACTGTTTTTAAGTTTTTGATGCTTTCATGACACTTACTTAGCTTATAACACACATTATAAAGCTGTAGAAAAATATTTTCTTCGTTTATGTCCTTATTCTACAGCCTTTTCTTGTTTTTAGATTTTTATTTGTTACTTTTTGAACTTTTCTATTAAAAACTAAGGCACAAACACACACATTAGTCTACACTTACACAGGATCAGGATCATTAATATCATTTCTTCCATGTTCACACCCTGTCCTCCTGGAAGGTCTTCAGAGGCAAAAACATGCATGGAGCTGTCGTCTCCTACGACAGCAATGCCTTCTGGAATACCTCATGAAGGTCCCGCCTGATGCTTTTCAGTTAACTTTTTTTTTTTGTAATAAGTCAAAGGCATACACTCCAAAATAATGACAAAAAGTATAGTATAGTAAACACATAATCCGTAACATAGTTATTTATTATCATCGTCAGGTATTATGTATTGTACATAATTATATAGGTTATACTTTTAAATGACAGGCAGTGCAGTAAGTTTGTTTCCACCAGTGTCATCACAAACACGTAAGTAATGTATTGCATTATGACAGCTACAACATCACTTGGCGATAGGAATTTTTCAGCTCCATTATAATCTTATGGGACTACCATCATAAATGTGTTCCATTCTTGACTGAAACATCATTGTACAGCACATTATTGTATATGCATATGTTATTGGTTTTGTGTCTGTAGAGACCCTAACCAATTCACGTGCCAAACAGTAACCTCTTGAGGACGGTTATGTATTTTAGCTTGACTGGTACCATCATCCATCCACCTACTCACTAATTCATTAATTCACTCAATAAGTTTTTAAAGCATCTATATATAATGCCTGTGAGAAACACCTCAAACAACTTCCATGCTAGTAAGACAGACAGCCTGCATATCAAACCCATAAATCACCCAGTCAAGGGGCAGTAATGGAGCCATGAAAAAAGTGCAGAAGTAGCAGAGAGAGTAACACCAGCTGGAGATGTTGTGTGAATACTTCCTGAAGGAAGTATTGTGAACACAAATCAGCTTTAAACCCTGCCAAATCATTCAGCAAAGAAGAAGGTGTTTTGAAACATTCATTAACCCTTTAAAATCCAATATGTAACATCATCTATGCATCCACACCAGAACTAGATTACAATAATATTCCATTTCTTTTTTAAAGATTGAGCACTTAACTTTATTTTTTTCTCAATTTAGAAATTTTAGTAAAATGCATTTAGCATAAGAAATAAAAATTTGTGGCCAGGTGCAGTGGCTCATGCCCATAATCCCAGGCCTTTGGGAGGTGGAGGCAGGCAGATCATGAGGTCAGAAGATTGAGACCATCCTGGCCAACATGGTGAAACCCTGCCTCTACTAAAAATACAAAAATGAGCCAGTCATGATGGCGTACACCTGTAGTCCCAGCTACTTGGGAGGCTGAGGCAGGAGAATTGCTTGAACCTGGAGGCAGAGGGTGCAGTGAGCCAAGATCATGTCACTGCATTTCAGGCTGGCAACAGAGCAAAACTCTGCAAAGAAAGAAAGGAAAGAGAGAAAAAAAGAAAGCAAGAAAGAAAGAAAAGAGAAAGAGAGAGAGGAAGGAAGGAAGGAAGGAAGGAAGGAAGGAAGGAAGGAAGGAAGGAAGGAAGGAAGGAAGGAAGGATTTGTAACAATGTCAGATTTATATGGACATTCATTATATATGTTTTTTAACTTTTATTTTAAGTTCATGGGTCCAAGTGCAGGTTTGCCACCCAGGTAAACTACAATAGTTTTTCCATGTGGGAACAAAAAATAACCACAATAAAATAAGCATATGTAAGAAATAGCGAGATAATATATACAGAGAGGAGTAAAGTTTTGTCAGATTGATCTTTCAATTGTCTTTTAATCTCAGTAGAATAATCCAATTTCCTTTTCTTTTTCTTATGTATTCTGATGAGCATTTTTCTGATCTACTTTTATATAATGTGATCCTGCTCAGGTCAGAACTCAACTTTCTTTTTTCCTACATGTCTTTTAGGAACTCACAAGTTAATTTTCCTTCCTCTATTAAGTTATAGGATAAAATTATGCAACAAAACCATAAGATTATGAACCAAATGAATTATTGATGTGTTTGAACAAAGTCATTCAGACCTTTGAGAACACCCTTGTGCTGTGAGTACAAGAAAGCTACAATTAAGCTTGCTACCATTTTTCACTGCTTGTCACAAAAATGCCTCAAAGCTGGTCTGTATCAGCCACTCCAGTTTACCATTGAGAAACCTGAGCCACTAGAAGGTAAAGTAATTTTATTTTGTGAGTCAGCAGAGTCCTGGAAGGCCATGAGGAAATATGAGCTGCAGGCATTTTGGGATAAGATGGTTCTTAAGTCAGTGAGCCACCTTCTGAAGAGGCAGATGTAAAATTAAAAGCTATAATTAACTCTCTAACCTGAAGCTTTCTACTGTCCTGTTAATTATGAAATAATGAAAACAATTTCACATAATTTGAAGAAATAAGCAGAGGAAGGCTGATTAGAAATGGGGAACCTCTGCGGGCTGTGCATGTGTAATGACACCATGCTAATGACACTGCCGCTGTTGTGGCTTATGTGACTGTGATCGCTATATTCATGTGGTAGGAGCCAACGTTCTAGTGTACATTGTGAGTAATATAGTATATGCAGATAATAACGTACTCCTGAATACAGGGGCCTCTGAATCATCCAGAAAAATATTTTGAAAACCACCAGACTCCTCACAGTCCACTTCTATAGCTGGTAGGAAGCTGACGCATTATAATTTAAGTGATGGAGTTTGAGGTTTGGACCAAGAATAATAACCCAAGATGGCAGCCCAGGCAGAGATAGGAGGTTGAGAACTTGAAGAAACTGAGAGATTGGAGTGCTTGGCTTATACACTCTGCTATTCCCTGAATTGCTTCATCTTTCTGGGCAGTTTTTTTTCCTGTCTGTTTCTTCATTTGCAATGAAAGAGAGCTGGATTAGGTGATTTCCAGGGTCCCATATACTCTTACATTCTCTGATTGCATATTTGTGTAACCTGTTTCCCCTGGAGTCCCAGGAGAGACCTGCTCTGCAGCCAGCACCTGCAGGGCCACTTCCAAGCAAACAAATCAATAAACAGCTGATCATATTCTGTAAACTCAGCACTGTTGCTCTTTTCCCTCTTCCTGTGGTAGTGACCTCCCCTTCCCAAGAGAGGCTACTCTTTAACTGGGAAGACGGCTCTGAGGCTCCTCCCAGCATATGATGGAAACAGCAAGTAATTTCAAATCTGATTTGAAGAGTAGAGTTCAAATCCTATTTTCTGTAATTACTGACTGTGTGCTGGCAGTGGTTTCATATGGACTAGCTGTGTGACCTGAGTCTCTTTCTAAGCCACAGTTTCTTCATCCGCAAAATGAATATTATAATAGTATCTATTTCACAGTTTTATTGCATGGATTAAAGAAAAAAAAGATAATGATAAGTGATTTTGCCTAAAAGACTACCTGGCACATGTCAGATTTCAAATATGTTAGCTCTGTGCCTACTCTCTTCACACTCCATGCTTTATTAGTGCTTACAGATAAAAGGATGATACTCCAAAAGTCAAATTTTAGACAACATCCGGTGATGAAGGACAGATTTGGCTTCTCATCCTTGCAATTTCATTATTTAGGCAGTTCTACTGAAACAGCAGGTCTAGATCTTAAGTACACCACCAATTCTCTTTTTATTAGACTAGAAACTTGGGCCTTAAGCTAGCAACCCACTAAAGACTGGGTAAGAGTAAATAGCAGCTTGAAGGCACTTTATACAAGTCTGACATTCCTTATTTATGCCATACCTGTGGAGCTGAAGAGGCAAAACAGAATGTAGAGATTTCCAATGTGGTCAATAGGGGGAATGTAATGGATGATGATGTAATGCTTTTGTGAGCCAAAAGAAGCTGGAGCAACTCAATTTTCTAGAGAAACAAAAGGAAATAGGCAGGATCATGGCCCAAGAGTGAGGACTAGGGTATGGTAATGTAAGCACTGTGGTTTTGTTCATTTGTTTTGTATATTTAAAACCAACTACAACAAGGAAGAGGTAAGATATTTACCCACTGAATTCAAATCTTCTACAAATATCATTGCTTCCTACCAAGATCTAAAGCTTCCACAAAATGAAATTTCTTTTTGGGGGGACACCAGCAGCTGCTCATTGGCTAGAGAAATCAAAACTGAATAATGTAAAAGTTCCTCACTATCCATTAACTCTGAAGAATACAAAGAACACTTAAGATAAGATGTCTATGTGGACAAAGTGTTCTTGGTCCCTTTGCTAGAAGAAACCTTTTGTAGAATGCAAATACCCTGAGGCCAAATGGTCTTGCTACTACTTACTAAGTTGGTTCCCCATCTCCATATCCCCCACCTGCATTTTTTTTAATCCATCTTAGCCTAAGTTCTAAGAAAATAAACCATGTGAAGAAGCACGGCCAAAAAAAAAAAAAGTGCTTTATACGTCACTTACATTGTCTGGGTCCTCATAAGACATAGGGAGACTAAATTGCCTAAAGCTGCACACTAGCGACTGTGCTATAAAGAGAAACCAAGTTACCTGTCAGAGAGTCAAGGATGGTTCTGGTATAAAGCTGAGTTTGGAAGTTGCAAAATATAAAGAAGGTGTGGTCTCTGACCTTACGGCACTGAAAAATGAATGAGTCTAACAGACTTTCTCCTTTGCTATTGTGACAGGTTGGAACTCGGCATCGAGAGCTTCCATTTGCAAAGGTAGATGCCCAAAGAGCAAAGTGGTCAAGGTGACTCAGACAGTGTAAACCTAAGGGCAGAATGGTGCTAACCTTGCCACCACACCCACTGCATGACTGGTCTTTACCTTTGTCTTTTCTGAGTCACATTTTGCAGACCAACGGCCAAGAATAAGGAATGATCCTGGGACCCATGGACAAGTTTGACACTATGAAGCAATTGCCAGACATCATATTACCATGGGCTTCTTGTTCACACCCTTGATTTACACATAGCAATGTACCTCTCTATGTGCTGCATCCATTATCACACCGCTTAGTGTTTCCCTAAAGAAAATGCTTAAAATTAAGCTAATGTGTTATCTTCAAAACAAAGGAAATCAAAATGCAATGCTAGTTTTGTTAGTTGTTCTAAGATCTTGAGAAATTGAACACATACAGGACCAATCCCTGCTATTCTCAGGCAGACGTATTTGCAGTCTCTAAAACGCAGAGATTACCAACGAAATGTTTTAGATTCCAATTTAAATGAATCACGGTTCTTGGTTTTCTTGGCATGAATCACGGTGAGCTTGCACTTTTGAGACAAATATCATGCCTTATGAATTATTGACTGAAAATGAAGGACAAAATTATTATTTGCAAATGCACAGTATATAAGAACTATAAGGTGTGTCTGGGACTATATAGTTAAATGATGCCATCTGAATGATTCATTTAAATTATTGGTGTTTCTCAAGCTACTTTTATTTTCTCACATTAGTAATTGTGTGAAAATTACTAATGTTTTAAGTAAAGTTGAGTAAGTTGAGTTGGTGCGATCAAGGGTCAGCCAGGATCCAAGCTTTTATTTTGTACCAACTTGACAAAATGCTTCTGCAGGAGTGATGGAGGCGTCTGTGGTCAGGCTTTGGCATGCACACAGAAGCCACAGAGCCTGACCAGCTCAGCAGTAAGAGTTTTAAGAGGCTCTCAAGGAAATGGCAGGATCTTTTGTAGAAGACAGTAGATATTGGTGGACTTACTTAAATATAAGATTTTGATCTATTTCTTCTCCATGAAAATGCACATTAGGTTAGAGACCTTCCTGAGAAAAACAATTTGAAAGAAACATCCATCCTCAGATTCTTTTTTCACTCTAGCAAGATAGGTTAATACAGGGGAAAAAACCAAGTGTGGTTGTATTAGTCCATTTTCACACTGCTGATAAAGACATACCTGAGACTGGGCAATTTACAAAAGAAAGAGGTTTAAATGAACTTACAGTTCCACGTGGCTGGTGAGGCCTCACAATCATGGCAGAAAGTAAAAGGCATGTCTCACATGGTGGCAGATAGGAGAAGAGAGGGTGCACAGGGAAACTCACTTTTATAAAACCATCAGATCTCATGAGACTTGCTCACTATCATGAGAACAGCAAGGGAAAGACCTGCTCCCATGATTCAATTACCTCCCACCAGATCCCTCCCACAACATGCAGGAATTCAAGATGAGATTTGGGTGAGGACACAGACAAACCATATCAGCAGTTAACAGATAAGTAAGTACTTTCACTTGAAGGTAAACATTGAAAGTCAAATGCTGAAGGTATTCACACAAAGCTCACTAACTTAAGAATGAGCCAGCTAACTCTTAATCTCTGAATGTGTTTGTTTTGTTTTGAGACAGAATCTCTGTTGCACAGGCTGGAGTGCAGTGATGCAATCTTGGCTCACTGTAACCTAACCTACCAGGTGCAAGTGATTCTCTTGCCTCAGCCTCCTGAGTAGCTGGGACTACAGGCATGTGCCACCACACCCAGCTAATTTTTGTATTTTTTGTAGAGATGGGGTTTCACTATGTTGGTCAGACTGGTCTCAAACTCCTGACCTCATGATCTACCCGCCCTGGCCTCCCAAAGTGCTGGTATTATAGGCATGAGCCACCACACCTGGCCAAGAGTCTTTTCAAACTGGCCATGTTTATACAAAATTAGAAAGGAGAAGGCTTTTCCCTACTCTATGTACTCCTATATACTCCCGCAAATCTAATGAACAAGTACATGAGGACTTTGTGCAAAGCAGAAGTGACCTTAATGTAGTTTGAAAGAGCTAGAGATGCTGCAGGAGATATGGCCCACAGTTCTTCACCCTGCTCCAGCCCTCTACTGCTGCAGGCACTGTTGATGTGGTGAAAGTAGAAAATATCCTTACATTAGTGAGCTCCCTTTAAAAATCACTGCTCTGAAAAAATAAACAAGAGAGCCCGTTGGGTTCTGTGCAAGATTAGAGACTTGAGTAGCGGAAAACACAAAATTGGATCTATAACTTATACTCAGTTACCAGGATAAATTCCATGTGGATCAAAAACTTAGATTTTAAAAAAGGGAAAACTCCAATAAAAGAAGAAGAAACATGAAAATTTCTTTGTAATTAGAAACCAAAATTCATGAAGGAAAAGTTGTTTTTTAGATGAAATAAAATTTTTGTAAAGTTTATTTAAGCAAAAAATTTGTGAACAAAATAGAAAACAATTGACATATTGGAAAAAATATTTGCAATTCATACAACAAAAGGTTAGTCTCCTTAATATATAACATTTCTAGAAATTCATAACATAACCCAACAATCCAAAAGAAAAATAGGCAAGAAATGAACAAATGGTCCACAAAAAAAGTGAAGAATGACTCTTACACATATGAAGAAACACAACCTCTTCAATAGTCAGATACATGCAAAATGAAACTACATTGAAACACAATTTTCTACCAATCGATAAAAATCCAAAGTAGAAGCACTGTTGTCCTAACTGCAGAGAAATGGATGCTGTGATGTATTGCTTGTGGGAAGGTAAATTACTGTGACTCCTAGAGAGAACAGTTTGCATCATCTATCAAAATTACAAATGCATCTTTCATTTGACCAAACAATTTCACTGCTTGATGTTTACCCAAATTTTTCACTACAGCACTTTTTTGTAATAGTACAATCGGTGAGATAAATTAAATAAGTTGATACATTTATATGATAGAATTCTATATAATAGTTTATCAAAGAAAGAGGAAATGAAGTATCTACTGATATGGAATAACCTTATGATTCAGTGATAAGAAAGAAATGGTGCATTCTAGAATGTACAACATGTCCATTTGGGGGAGTGGGAAATTGATGAGGAACCTGTATGCACATTTGCTGGCATATTCAAGAAGTAACTCTGGAAGGACATCTAAGATGTTGCTAACAGTGGCTACCTGGATGGTAAATGGATGGAGTCTGAGGGTAGAAAGAAGAATTTCAGTTCTCCAAAAGAATGAGTTTCCAGAACTACAGCTTCCTGGGATTAGAGATACAGAGTAGGATCATAGAACTGACCAGTCTTCGTGGCCTACTCAGGATCAGTAACATGGTTTTGGCTTCATTATCGCAGAATTCACGCCAGCAGCACTGGCCAGCTCTCAGACCATAGGAGCACAGCACATTCTAGAATCAAAGATTAAAGTTAGAAGCTACATTAAGGAGCCTTTGAAATAAGATTTGAGCTCAAGTCTTCTAAGTCCTTCTTTTATTCTACTTAACTTCCATTAGACCAACAGTTCTTAACTGGGGATAATTTTGTCCCCAGGGCACAATTATGATTGTCACTGCTAGGAAAGGCGGGAGTATGCTAGAGGCCAAGGAAGCCACTAAACATCACACAATGCATAGGAGCAAAAACAAAATAAAATAAATTTGACATAAAATATTAAAGTTGAGATTGAGAACCTTGCCCTAGATAGGATACCAAAGGAAAGATGAAACTTGTGAGGCAAATTAAGGAATCTTCTACCATAAATAACCTTTCAGTGCATCCCTGTATCTGAGGAGTCCCGTGTAGGGGCAAGAGATGGATGATTTTTCTATACGCTGGTGTGACAAACACTATAAAACTTAATCTTGACTCAAACACAAGCTAGATCTTAAAGCACAGTGCCATAGTTAAAGAATAACAATTCCTTAAATTTCTACATGTACTGGAAATTGTTTTCCAGTGTTGGCACCTGTCTTTACTGCCCATTTCACTCAAAGTCACAATGAGGCTTGATTTACAGGAGACCCGCTATTTAGAAACCCTGCAGAGAATCAGTAAAATCAGTGCTCCCACTGCAGAAAGGCTGCTGTCTCTGGGAGGTAGTTGAGCAGCTGCTAGGGAGTCTCCCTTTACTGCCGTCAGCAAAGAGAAAGAAGAACGAAGTGCTGATTCACCAACTGCCAGACAAATGGGGCGGGGGTGCAGGGAATGTGGCGAGAGACGTCTGGAAGAGATGAGAGAATCACTCAGGGAATCATTTCCGATGGCAGAAACACAACAAAACTGCATTCTGATGCCAGGGAAAGCATAATTAGAATGATAGCAAGTAGTAAGAATAGATAATCAGCAGAGTGGAAGAGAGAGCTGGCATTCTCCTCAAATGAGCACCACTGTTCCCAAGCCCCTAAAAGACTTCCCATGGGAGCTGCATGGTGAGGACCAGATCAGAACCTGGGGCATTCTGAGAGTGGGCACGCAGCTTCCCTCAGGAGGTCTGGTATTTATCTAGGGCCTGTGGGAAATGGTCACTTTCTCACTTTTGCAGCCATTGAAAAACAAGAAGAAGAAGGGGTGGTGCCCCTCTGCCCTGCAGCACTCTGTCTGGACACTTGGCTTCATGGAGCTTTTCCTGGCTTCCTTATGGAGCCAATTTAACACTCTCAATGAATGAAACAGTGGCCTTCATGGCACTTCCTCACTCCTCTACTCTCCTTCAATTGATTGTCACTGAGTCGTCATGTCACAATCTCTTTTTAAACTGTTCTTTCTTCTGCTGGTTTCAATTTTTCCCTCATGGCCAAGATTGTGACTCTGGCTGGTGTTGAACAAGGGGTGAAAATCAGGCACTTAGAGATACAGTACTAGTGAACTCAGTGGGGAGTAAGGAAGTTAGTCAGACTCCTAGGTTAAAACAACTCAAACAATATTGACCAGTTGTGTTTGTTTACCACTTTATACCCTCACGGGAAAGTACCAGCAATGAAAAATCGTTGAAAAATGACAGAAAATAGCATGCTCCTCAAGAAATGAAAGGAGTAAGAATCTACTTACAATCTTTCTCTCCTTTGAAGGCTCACTGAGAAAACTATTCCATTCAGAGATGAAGATTCAGGATTAGCCACTAGAATTGTCTAGCTACTGAGCCAGATTTGGCATTTCCTTGGGATGGTGCTAAAAATCAGAAGAACTTTGGTTTGCATGACCTTTAGTGCTGTATTTAAGGCGGTTGCCATATATACCTTATCTTATTCAACCCTTGCAACATCCCTGGAAAATTGCTGTAGTATTTCCCATTCCAAAGATCAAGAAACCAAGGTCCAGAAAAATGACTTTAAAATGCTTAAG